TAAGTGTAGAAGGATAACATAATTTGGGACTTGAAATTTTCTTTCCTTGGTTAATTGCCTATCTACATCATGCAGGAACCAGAAAAAAAATATGTAGACGTTGATGGGCGGCAACTTTGCTTATCTTGCTATTCTATTACTATCATGGATCCAGAGAAATGCAAGGTTCTTATTTTTGAAAACGTGCATAGATTTTATGCAAGTTTAAATCTCAAAGTGGATGAAGACATTCCTATTTTATTGGTGGATAAAGATGAGATGATCAAATTTAAAAATAAAAAGACAGAGACAATACGTAAGTGCACACCAAAACCATATCAAATTTATTCGCTGGATCTGTTTGTTACTATAAAAGTTAGTAAATTTTTCATAACTTGTTTGGCTTTTATTTTATTCGAAAAACTTATCAAGTTTTTTATATTATTCATGTTCTTGATTTAGCTACGGGCATTGCCATGTACAACTATTACAAGCCTATCATGACGGTAAGATTTTCGTTAGGAGTTAATTATTTTCGTTTTATCTAATAAAGTATTAATCCCCTATAAATATACAGTAAATATTTGTGATAAAAGATATTTCCTGTATGTCTTTGTATCAGATTAATAGATGTACAAAATATGAAGACAGAATTAAAGTCGAGAAGAAAGCCAACAAAGTAACCAAGCTGCAACTTTTACCAGCATTTTGCTGCGGCCAAAGAGAGATGATTAGACTTTTACTTCGATTCGGATGGCCCGAGTACGTCACTAAGGGGTTTTAATTAGCATCATTCCCCGTTGCATAATTTAATTTCTCTAATTCATTTGTAGTCTATAAAATAATCATATTATTTTATTTAAAATCTAAATAACTCTATAGTTTTATCTTCCTTACAGTGTGATCATGGGCATGACATTGGCACATGAGATGATGCATGCATGGTTGAGGTTTCAAGGTTTGAATCTGGATTTAGGCTTCATTAATTATTCGCTACAAAAAAACATTAAAAAAAAAATACAAAATAGAATTTGTTTTAAACTTATGCCTACAGGTGCAATATTTTTAGGACATTGCTTGGCTCCTGCTCATGGATCAAGACTCAAGAGCCAAGCAATGTCTAATATATATAGTATGATCTCTAGGTATTTTTATTATTATTTTTCTCAATAATGGTGCATATTGTAGGTCTAATTGGCTGTTTTAAACTGGAAAGATGGTTAGAAGAAGGTATTTGCCAAGTAATGTCACACAAATATGGGGAATGGTATTTTTCTCGGGGTGTTGACTACTCATACAAAACCAAAGAGCAGCTTGATATCACAAATAAATTGTACCCGTATAGAGCAGAACTTTTGAGAAACCATTCCGATGAAATTTATCGAGAAGGGTTCAACCAGGTAATGCAGGCTGTTAAGGAAAATGGCTTCCAAACGACACTGAATCATATCGTTGAAGCAAGATGTCTGCCACATGTCTGCACGAATTCGAAGTAAGAAGATGAGGAAGAAGAGAAGATGTGATGATTATTATTACTTTTTAGGATATTAACTTATGTTGGATACGTCATGTTTGTGTAGATCGGTTTGAGGATCTCAGGATCAATCTAATGTAGAAATATTTATTTTTCCAGAATTTAAGCAGGCTGGGGTAGCAGTTGTGGCTGAAAAAAAAAAACACAATGAGGACCCTGGCCTTGTTCCCACCAAAAGCACATCAAATGCAGCCCACACTGAATTTTTACAGAAAATGAAAAATTGTCAACAAAAAGAGACTAAGTATGAGAAGTATTGCTCTAAATTGCTTAAACACAAAAACACAAAAAAGTTAGGTCTTGATCTTCTCTTTGGGAACTCATTGTTCTCCTTTCAAGATAATCAAATTGAAAATAAAAATACCACTCACATTTTATCAATGAAGCAAAGCAGGTGTCTTTTTACACCAATCCAATTGCATAATCACATTAATAAGTCACAAATAATTAAGGAGGTCTAAAACACTGTTCTCCT